GTTTTCAAGACATTACAAATCTATGATTTTTGTTGACTGGTATTTTTAATGCTGACACTCTCCAAATTTATGTTTCACAGAAGTTTTATATTATTAAGATGGAAACATTATATTTACTACAAATATGTTGTGAATTTGTATGCAAACAAATTTTTATAAATTAATTTACAAAAATTCGAGTAAAACAGCAATTTTTCCTTTATTATACATACCATTGCAATTACCATTGCAATGGTAATGCAAAACTGTTTTCAGCTCTCGCAGTTCATCGATACACATGGTATATATAAAGCAATTACATTGACAAATTATAATATTATGATGTAAAAATATAATGACTAGCATGACTAAGAAAAGCTAACAGTGGTACATTATACTGTAATCACATTTGACAGAAAGTACTTAACTACCCTAGCTCAACTCTGAATTAACAACGTTTAATAGAAACCATTTTGTTTTATATCGCAGTAAGTATGCTCGATGAAGAGTTAAATTGTTTATTTAATTGTGTTTGACATAGTTGCAAAAATGTTGCATGGTTGCATAAAATTCGGAGTGTGAACGAACAGAAACTTTTTGTATGTTTCACACTTATCGCTTAATATAGGAAATTATTTTCTTCATAAATATGTACTACACAAACAATAGCAATATGTAGACTTAACAATAAAAAAATGATCAAACTTACCTACGAATATAGGTTAAAGCTTCGCGTTTATCTTTAATATTACTATTTTCCCGCAGCATTTTCAGCATACGTGGAAAAAGTGGAATATTAGAAGCCATTCTAGAAAATTGAGTTGCACAAGGTATTAAAATAACAATATTTCACTCATCTCATCACAGATCTTCCTATAAGGGCTTTTGCAAAAATCATGAAATTATTACAATGTCCCTTGTACTTTCACTAAACAGTTCACAGATACAGATGAAATCACTCACCAAGTCCGCTCGTGTCTATTTTACAAACACTGAACGTCACGAAATGTTATTATCTTGTTTAAACTGCTGAAAGAAAGAAATTGTAATAATCACTTTAAAGTATTAGAATACATTACATTCACAACACACAGGTTCAGCACGCACTATGTACGACTTTAGACCTGTCTTCTGTTCTTTAACTTTCCCTTCTTTTACTTTCTTTTCTTCCCGCCTTTTCGTTTTTATCTCGAAGATTCACAACGCAACGAACAAAATATCGTTTGTTTTTGAAAATTGATAGAAGTAGAAATATGTACATACAATCATACACAACAGCTAACGCTTCACAATCCCGGTGAGTTTGCAAAGTAAGCATACACCTTCAGATTCCGTTTTCAACAAATTTATTTATACGTATTGGCATTAATACAATAATAAATTTACTTCAAAAAACATAATTAGTTATCAGTTATTTGCATTCTTTAAATATAGCCTCTTTCCATGAGTAATATAACAAAGTATTACAATAAAAGTAGAAAAAAGCTATGTATGCTATAATTTGTGCGCCAAAATACAATGTAGCCATCCCTACCATATGCTCACAGTGTGCAGGATGTGCATATGCTACTTGATGCTACTTGACTCCCTAGCGACGAGATGTAGAGAACGCAGTTACCAACAAAATGAGACGAAAACATGGGTTTACGGGCTGACACTTAACTACCTTATGTCAGCATCTTTCTCGCTGTCTTGTGGTATTATTCAAAAGAGGAAGGTTCAGTGCAATGTGTTAATGTCAGATTTCATGAGAATTGTGCAGATATTTCGTAATATAAGTCTTAGAAAGTAAGGTAAAAATTGATGTTGTCAAAGCCATGGAATCCAAGAAATTTTATGCCATTGGATGATTTTTTGAATGAAAGTCTGACATTCGCGCACTGCACTGAACCTTCGTCTTTCGAATGATACAATTAAACATCGAAAAAATGCTGATATAAGGTCAGCCCGTCAGCCCGTAAAAGCATACCATTTTGGCATCAAAATTTATGATATCGATAATATAGAGCAAAAAATTTGACAAATTTAGTTACACTGGTGCTTATAAGATGGCGCCTAAGTAAAAGGTCTGTCAATGTGGAATCGGAGGTGAATGTTAGCTTGCGTTAAAACACAGATTCCCAATAGATTGTGAAACTCAAAAACTAAATTATGCTAGCTTATTATATTTTGTTACCATGTTGCACAGAGAAATTTATAAGAGCGTCTAGTCGTAAAATACATCAAGTGATAATGTGATGTGATATAATAAGAAGAGAGTCTATGTAAGAATGACAGTTCTGTCAACCATGTACAGATGACAGTGTAAAAGAGAAAAATTATTTCCCTATAATTTTAATAAATCTAACTTAAACCTAAACCTAGATGCAAGCTTGGATTGTGATTATATCGAATGCCTATTCGTTCATCGGCAATACGTGTCTGTATATGTCTGTATACGTAATTGTATTAACCATAGAGATTTCATGCATTATCACGTTATACAAAAAATAAAAAGAAACCAAAGAATTGCTCTATTCATCTAACTAATTGCTCATTTGAGGCTAGGAGCACGTGCCGTTCAATGTGTGATAGCTTAAACCAGAGCTCGGAACAAGACTGCACGCATCATCAATGCTACGAGGGTTACACCTCCGCAGTAATTGTGTATTCGTGGCGCATGGGGCGACGTTCGTATCAATAGATTTGTAGAAGGATAAGGAACACAATTAAATTCCTGTAAATTAATTATCAATGAACGTAGCATAATAACATCATTTATGATTAGAAAAGACTAAGAAAAATATATATATAAATCTTCACAATTTATTTAAAAATCATACAATACATTTGTTACAGCCTTATTCTCTATTTTACAATATCAAAAAGAATTCAAAGTTAGCAGTTATTAGCTCGGTATCATTCTCGACCCAAAACTCATTGCAATTCGCAACATTTTCTGATCCGAGGATGATACCGACTGCTCGGGTCTCACCGCGAGGAGGTTGCTGCTTTAGAGACCCGAAAGGGAGTTAGGACGAAGTCGGTATTTGTTATTACATGTAGTAAGTACTTAATTTTAAATTCGTAAGTACTTAACAGTAGTAGTATTTGGGACGTAGTAGTAATAGTAATAATTTACTACTACTACTACAACTACTATTACTACTGCAGCGAGTACAGTGACCAATTAACAATATACATACATAATAATATATGTATATGATAATATATACAATAATTTTTGTCTTACGTCTGTAGATTAACCTGAAATTAAAGAACCTGAAAATAAAGAATCTGAAAATCCTAGCTAAAAAGGGATTATTAGTTTCAAATTATTCTTTAACATGAATTCGTTTTGACGAATGTGTACAAATTTAATTACAAGAGAAGGAAAATTAATGGCAATTGAATTCAAACGGAAAACGCGAATTATTGAAAAAATACACCCTAATTAGATATACAGTACAATTCGCAACAAGTATGCGGTCACTGTACTCGTAAAATTGAGAAAACTACTGATAAAAAAAGCATGAGACTCACATTTCGATGCGACGTTGGCTTTGGAATTCGGAGTAGGAAGAAGTAAATAAAAGTAGGAGAGAAGCAGCAACAACAAAGAAAGGCAGTAGTAGAAGCAGCAGCAGGAAGTGCAGATATTTCCATGACCCAGACATCAGGTCTGATTCCAAACGAAAATATTAATTTCTATTTCGAAAAGGTTCATGTTGAAATTGAAGATAAAATTTTGTTGAATAAGAAGAAAGTGAAATAAATTTAGATTCAAATTAAGAAAAAAACTAAAATTTGATTTCAGGAGAAAGTAGAGTAATATTAGATTTAAAACGAAAAGGAAAGAAAATTCGTTTAAATTGGGTAAAGGTAACATGAGTTGAAGTCGACATCGCAACTCTAAACACTGAAAATACAACAAAAAAAATTTTAAATATAAGAGGAACATATATTTGGTGACGGCTACTGACTACGGGAGTGGACTAAAGATCAGTAGCGGTCATCCTGAAAGTCCACCCTGAGTCAGAGCTCTTCTGGAGGAGAACCTCTGGAACCCGACTGTTTCTACTGGTGAACAGGCAGCAACTGACTGAACAACAGCTTTGTACCAAACCGGTAACCGAGAGGTCACCCTACCACTAACTTCAACAAAGATTAATCGCATGATTGATGACGATCGATAATTTCGATTATTTCTAATTATTTAATGTTCGTAATAATTTATTTTGCAAGGATGCTATCCAGTGCTCGCAAGACAACTTTATCATATAAATCATTTATAAAAAATACTAACGAGATTTAATTAACAAGAGACTCTTAATTGCACAAATTGATCGGTTAGTTATTAAATCGAATTTCTTTCGTTTATAAATTTACTATCTCTCGCTTCTTAATATTTGTAACAATTCTGTTTGTTAGAAGTATGGTTAAACACCTTACTGACTATTTTGCCATTTAATTTGTTAGTGAAAATAACCGATAGAATCAGACACATGGAGTAATTCCTCGAGCACGAATATTTCGAGAAATTGTTGCAGCAAACGAGCTTCGTTAATTAATTGACTGTTTTTCGATGTTTAATATTTACGAGAACTCATCTTGCCAATGATATTATTAAATACTCCCGTAGCTATTTCGTCGTACCATTACGTAACAAAAACAATTAATAACATCAAACATACAAAGTGATTTTCAAAGCACGAATTTATCGAAGGATCGTTACATCGAACAAAAATTCTATTGATACATTTCTTATTTCTATCTATTTAATAATAATTGTAAGAATTTCTCTCTCTCTTTTGCTA